TGTTAATGCGAAAACCTTATATGGCCCATCAAATTCCTAAATTGACTGTCGGCGTCTCGTGGCGTAAAGGACGAGTTATTAAAAAACGTGGAAGCGGGTAAACGTCTTTTTTCGTGACGCTATTAAACTTCCTGTAGTCAATACAAAATCGCAGCGTTCCGTCTTTTTTCTTCACTAGAACGACTAGTGAGGACCAAGGGCTGCTGGATGGTTGAATAATCCCGTCATCGAGCATATCTTTTACTTGTGTCTGAATAGCCGCACGTTTTTTGGAAGAAACGCGATAAGGCTGCTGCCGGATGGGGCGGACGTCATCGTCGGTAATAATTCGATGCTTGGCGAGGTGTGTTCGATGAACTTTGGAAGAAGAGGCGAAGCAAGACCGAAACTCCCTTAAAAGGTCATGAAGTGCAGCCTTTCTCTTGTCTGACAGCGTCGAATTAATGTCGATGTGGTTTAGAAATTCTTCATCCTCATGCGTTTCCTCGGACGCGAAGCACTCCGTGACGTCGGCAACAGGGTCTCCATAGGCTACGGTGGTTCCGCGGAAAAGATGCCGCTGCTCGTAGTTGAAGTTCGTAACTAGTATTTGCGACTGTTCGTTATGGACACGCACAACACTTCGGGCGGCACATACACCTTGGAGTAGCAGAAGTGATAGGTTGCTTTTAGCCACCACGTCACCGTCCCGGAGGTCTTCACAAATGACTTCGATGGGAACAGTCACTCGAGGCGGCAGCGTCACACTGTCGTCAGCAACACGCAACGCAGGTCTACGGCAGTTATCAGCGTCTCGATCTGTTGCGCCTTGAGTCGAGAAGGTCACGATGCGTTCACGGAGATTTATGATAGCACCGTATTCCCGAAGGAAGTCCATGCCGATAATCAGCTGACGTGAACAGTCGCGCAGAACGAGGCAGCTGAGCACAAATGTTGACGCACGAATTTTCACTCTTGCCGTACAGCGACCCAGTGGTGTTACAACGTGTCCTCCAGCAGTTCGAATTCGCCTTTCATTCCACAGCGTAATCACTTTCCGGAGATCTTTTGCTAGCCTCCCGCTGATAAACGAATAGTCTGCACCAGTGTCTATCAATGCATTGACCTGAAAACCGTCAATCGGCACAGGTATGTCAAGTGACACGCGGTCACTGGGTTCAGATGTGGATTTCGACGTTTCTTCGGTACTGCGATTACTGTCTGATTGAGTGTCTTCCGTGTTGCGTGCAAGCGTCGATGGGAGGTCTTCCGCACTTTGAGTCCCAGCGACCTTGCCCCCGAAGGCCGCTGCCTTCAGTTTTCCCGACGAGGGCTTGGAGAGCGTTCCCGTGCCGTCACATCGAAACGTGACGCAGTGGCTGCGGGTCTCTTCGGAGATGGTGACCGTGATTGCCGTCGTGTAAAGGGTGCACGCTGTTGCGCGAGATACTCTTCGATGTCCCTCGGCCTTTGACCCATTTGGGGACGAGGTGAATTGACGGAAAATCCACGCAGGCCAAGTTGCCGGTATGGGCATCCGCGGTAAATGTGACCAGCCTCACCGCAATGATAGCAGAGGGGTCGTCTGTCCAGCGTACGCCAGAGATCAGACTTTCGCGTCGGTGCACGGCGACCATCGATGTCCAAACTAGCGTGCGCCGACTGAATCGCGACTGAAGGCATCATTGTCTGGATCGGGACGTATGACACTGTCTGAAGCGGAACGTGCGGCACTGTCTGGATCGGGACGTGCGGCACTGTCTGGATCGGGACGTGCGGCACTGGCTGGGTCGGGACGTGCGGCACTGGCTGGGTCGGGACTTCTTGACCAGAACGAGGCGTGGCAGATCGCAAGACTTCCGCGTACGTACGACAGCAACTGTCAGTAGACACAGGAGCCGTTTCCGGATCAACCGACATCAGCGAAAACGATGGGCGTGCAACACCTGTTGGACCTCGTCACGGATGACACTGGTGATAGAACCAACATCGATTGGTCTTGTCCCGTACATCTTTTCCATTTCTTCCCGGACAACAGATCGGATGACCTCGTGAATCCATTCGGGGCTCTTGCTCCCAGGGGTGGCGAAAATTTCGGGGGTTGAGGCAGCATTCACTTGACGGTCAAACAGGGCAGACCGTTGGTGCAGTATTTGCTCCATTGTTGCCGCTTCAGTAAGGAACTCAGCAACACTCTTAGAGGGACTACGCACCAAACCAGCAAAAAGTTGTTCCTTCACACCACACATGAGGTGGCGCAACTTTTTTTCTTCTGCCATAGCAGGATCCGCTCGCTTGAAAAGCCGTGTCATGTCATCAACGTACATCGAGACGGTCTCGTTTGGCATCTGGATGCGTGATTGTAGTGCACGCTCCGCCCGTTCGCGGCGGTCGGGACTCCTGTAGGTCTCCAGAAGGCGACGCTGGAACTCGCGCCACGATGTCAGAACATCATCCCTGTTCAAAAACCACGTCTTGGCACCGTCCTTTAGGCAAGTGTACATGTTCCGGAGCTTCGTGGCATCATCCCAGTAATTTATCGCTGCGACACGTTCGAACTCACTCAGCCAGTCGTCAACATCTTCATGCTGCTCTCCATGAAAGGGGCTAGGCATCAGCGGGTTCTGGACGGTGCAGTAAATCGGCGTGGAAGGTGTCGGAGCTTGCACGGGATCTTGTGTCGAAGTCATAGTCGCTGCGTCATTGGTTGGTGTCTCAGGTGGTAGGCCTCGTTGGCGGCGGCTTACTCTGTGAACAGGAGTGTCCACGGGTGCAGGGCTTGTGTTCCGGCTGCTGGGTGGGGTCTTGAGCATCGGGTGGATCGTGAGACGTTGTACCCCGCACCTCCACCAGTCTTGTCACGTTTCTTAAGACAAACTTGGTTTATTGGGTTCGTTGAGCCGACTAGCCAAGCAGCAGCTCAGACAGATCGTCTTTGTCTTCTTCCACTCTGATCTCACCCAAGCACATCAGGTGGCAATATATATATATATATATATATATATATATATATATATATATATATATATATATATATATATATATATATATATATATATTGTGTGTGTGTGTGTACAGCCAAACTGTTACTTCTTTAAACACGTAAGTGTTTAATGTTGGGGTCCACCAAATCTTAATTGACGTATTTTGTCACAAAAATAAGGTCGAAAAACAGACGTGATCGGAAGCCAAGGAAATAAAGTTCACTGAACGGAAGTTGAAGCCATCACCTCTCGGTCGTGGGTCACGCTTTTTAAGCTTTACCAACGCGCCTTTTACAATTGCCATTGTCTTCTCCCACTGTTCTTGAGAAAGTGTAGTGATGGATCATGATTGTGACATGAACGAGTAATTCCTTCAACGCGTGATTTGTACGCCTCCAGTCTGATGGGCGCGTTATCAATAGAAATGCAATTTTGCCAATGCCTTACCAAACAGCCACGTGGCGGCCCTACTCAAAGCGTCGGTGGTGCACATAGCATCCACTCATGCTAAAAAAATCGCAGCATTTTTACGGAGTGAATGATAATGAGTGGGGTGAAGCGTCCGTCCGTCCATCTGTGCGTGCATCCATCGATGCGTCCATCCGCTCACCCAACTGTCCGTCCGGACGCATGGACGGGCAGACAGCAGCATGAACTGAAGCACGGATTGATGGATGGACGCACAGATGGAGGCACGGAAGACAGGCAGACGGACGGACAAACAGAAGCACGGACGCACGGACGGATGGTAGGGAGCATGGACAGACCGAAGCACGGACGGACATATCGACGGAAGCATGGACGGACAGATGTACGGAAGCATGGACGGACTCACGGATGGACGGAGGGATGGACAGATAGATGGACGGACGGATGGACCACGTATGCACGGACCAGTACCGCTAGGCTACACCGCCACACAGAACTGGAGGCCATTCAGCAGCTGTGTCTGTCTGCTACAACAATGTGCCTTCCTTAAGAAGACGTTTTACCTTCCGATTGCTATGAAGGAGCGATGAACCTTGCTTTTTTTTATGCGGAGCATTTTATAGTCGCACCTGCTCGCAAATCCGGCATCGGCGGTGGTGTCGACACTCGCACTGCGCATGCTCGCGCCGCATGCTCGCCTCTAATGCCCACTGTCGCCCCTCCTTCTCTCTCGCCTTGCAAGGCTGATGCAGGCAGTGTCTGCTAGTAAAAACTGACTGCTTGCGCTTCACAACCATTCACTGGCCACTCCGTCTTTGCAGGCACTGGATCGCGCGTTTGAAGTTCAGTGGAGGACGTTCTTAATTGGCTTTCGCTTGACTTTACATTTTGCTTGTCCCCATCATCACCCTTCATCCCTCTTTCTTTCCCCTTTCCCTTATTTCCTGTGTAGAGTAGCAGGCTAGAGCGAACTAGCTCAGGCCGACCTCTCTGCCTTCTAATAAATTCTCACTCCTCACTTTGACTCGAGTAGATGCGACAGAAGCCATAGTACTTTCAACTATAGTGCCTATACAATATATTCTAGGCACTATACTTCAACCATCAGTGGGGCAAAACCCAACATTAGCGTCCCACCACTCGTTGAAGTCAACGCCTGTCCTTCATTCAATAAATAAGGATAATAACGATGAAATAACAATTAAGCAATCCCAAACCACTCCCAATTAGGCAACATTCGTGTGATACTCTGCGACGCATTCACTCCAGTTCTCCCCCTTGGGAAGATGCAGGTGGCTTTTTCTTTTTTTTTTTTTGTTGCGTGAATTGAGAGATCTCTATAGGTATTGGTGGCCCGTGTGTTACCTTCTTTCTTTTTGTAGGACCAGTGCGGAGCAGTGCAGCTCTCCCAATATTTTGTTGCACATGCGCTTTAAGAATTTTCGCATACCTATTGGACGGGCGAATTTCGTTTCTGCTTATTAACAGCTTTTCTGTAAACAGAAGATTGGGGAGCGAGATGATTAATGTACTATATTTTTGTCTACGACGAAAGCTCTCGGAATGGTTAAAGAATATTCTGGGGACCCTAGTTAAAGGCCAGCTTACGTGAGACCTGGAGGGTAGAGCCGCAATGTCTCGCTGATAACTTGTTCGAGGTAATTCAGTCTTTTCATGAGAGTTTCGAATTCCAGTTTGTCCTGCACGAGAAACAGTGTAACAAAATAAATCAGAATCTCTGAAGGCCCACGATGCGGTGGTGAGACAAGACCTTCCCGTCCCTACGTGGAAGCGGCCCGCGATCCTACCCCTATAAAACGGGGGTAGCATCCCTCTGGACTTCAATAAAGTTTTTCATCCATCCATTGTTCTTGCCTTAGGGAAAAATAGTGGCAAGCCTTACCTATTCGAATTACAGAGCTCATCTGGTTGGTACCAAACCTCCTTGGTTGGTACGTATTCTAAAACAGGCAGGGTGTGCAAACACCGAGCAAAAAGGAGGAACTTTGTGGTGTAGTGAATTTCTTCTTGTACCCGTATTTGCGCGCTCTGTCTTTTAGGCTGTCCGTCTACTTTTCCTTTTTTTTTGCAATACACAATACGGGACGACGACGAAGCAGCCAAGCAAGCAAGTCACAGCGTTAGTGCTAGCCACACGATCCGAGCTTGCGCTTGCCTAAATCGCATCTCCTTGACGACAGTCGTATTGTGGCGGTAGTCCTTGACGGCCCTTGTCGATCCTTTACGCTTATAGATGAACAAATTGTGATAAACTTTCTTTCTTTCTTTCTTTTTTTTATTTTTGTCTTTCTTTCTTCATTTCTTCTCCTTTTTCTTTCTTTCTTTCTTTCTATCACTTTGCGATAAAAACAAACATGAATTGTATTAATTGGAAAGATCATTCTTGTGCAACACCTAATGCAGCTTCTGATGCTTCACGTCTTTTCAAAAGGAGCATATTATTATTTTGTTTCCTTGGTTTTAGCAAGTCGTCTACATGATGAAATGCTTGGTCCAATCTTGGTATCCAGCAAACCAAGTAATTCTTATCAGCATAAATTCACCAAGCTTCCCTTCCGATTTGACTGGCAAAAAGTTGTTCCATGAGTAGATGAGCGTGCGGCAACATATTAGTTTAAGTGGTCTACGAATTCTCTTGTGGTGCACTCGGAAGGCGTGCAACGGTGTGTACAAAAAGAAAAACACAATACACCGACTCAATTCGCACTTGGCAACACGTGCTTAATCTAATGGTTCGCTCTGGCACAATAGTTTATGGATATACCGCCTTAAAACTAAGCTCGGGATAAACTAGGACCACTCTTAAATGTGAAATATTTATTAAGAGTCCTGGGCGCCATATTTCTACATCTTTTTGGAATGAATACAAAACCGTATATTTCTTGTCTATGCATTAATTATCTTTCATATCTCAATTACTAGTGCGACTGCGCACGCGATACAATGAATATACATTTTACGCACACCACTGTATGCCCGGGACGGCTCTTTGACTCCCGTATAGTTGATCCCAAAGCATGCTTCTGAAAAAATGAATGGAATATCGCTTGCATAACCTTGGTGTCACCTACGTTACAAATGAAAAGTAATGAAGCAGCGTGGGGCAGGAGCAACAGCAGCGGGCGTTTTCTCGTTGAGTTGGTTCCAATACGAAAGGCCCCTGGTTCAAGTCTGGCTTACGGCACCAGAAGAAAACACGAAGAAGGGATCCGGGACTGGACTTCCGGCTACGTGTACGGATCAGAGCCAACTGAACGTGCCAGCGTCCCTGGCAGTTGCTCGTGCTTCACGACCCTTCGTTTTAATTTCGTTTGTAACTGGCTATGGAACATAATTTAGCAGCGTTTCTCGATTTCCTCAATATGCAAAGGTTACTGCGCGTTTGAGATATGGCACGCACGCACAAACGGTACATGTAAATGTAAACTTTTTTTCAAATTGCAGCGTTCGCGCGCAAAGGTACGCAGGTGCAGAGTAAAAACGAATGAAAAAGACTGGTACAGGTTTTCCAAGATTTTGAGAAACTAATCAACCAACTAACCATGCCCAACACCGCCTACAGTGGTCTCATTATGTGGCATAGATCAAATGGGTGTTGGGGGAAGAGAGAGAGGACAGCAAAGCAGAATGGGAGAATGAAAGAAAATTATGAAGTGATGTAACTGCATACAAAAAGAAAAAGCCAGATTTGCACACCTAATCAGTGGAACCAACATAATAGGGAAGTTGTTTCGCAACGATGCTTAAAGATGACTTCTGCACACCTGCAGTTTTGGTTTATCTTTAACGTGGTGCTTAGCCTTATTGTGCGCTATATATGCTGCTTGCTTCGCACCACTAAGCTTTTTTGCCGAAGTGTAAACTTCCGTTCAAACTATACTCTGCTGAAAACATTGTTTTTCATTGCGGTTTAAAAATAAATAAAATAAAATGAATACCTGATCAGAAAATGTATCGACGACTTCTTGGCGCACTTTGTCTTCGAGATCCGGGTACTTGGTGAGGACAAATGTCAGATAACTGAGCGCCGACGCTATTGTTTCATTCCTGCATGCGGTGTGCCACACGAATTTGCATGTAACTTTGAACTATAATATTAATTCCTCACAAAGAAAAAACATTATTTGTATTCACCACGTATGTGCAACACTTCAATGTTCCTTCATCTCAATTGTTTATTATTTTATCTAAATTATCAAGCCTGAAAATTGGCAGATTCCACGTAAAGAGGGAATCGACGATATGCGAAGCACGAATTACGTAGGTTTATTTGTCATTTTAAATCAGTGCTACGTTACGAATTGGACGTAAGTTATGCCGTACATGACTTCCATGTCATGATTATCATTTTTGGATGTGTCATTTACCTTCATCGTCTATTCTCAGCACGTGATACCAAATTTGGTATATGTGGAGCTAGCGAAACGACCACGAGTGCATATGTTGTCATGTTGTTACATTGCATGCATCTCATGATTATCACGTTTGCACCAGTCAGATAGATACCTTTGTCATTCATTTATGTCTCTTAATATTAAATTCGGTGTATGTGAGACAAGCGAAACAGCCACGAGCGCATGATGAGTGTTGCATGTAATAAATTTCTTACATGACCACATCTCATGAGTATCATGTTTGGACGTGGCACTTACCTTCGTCTTTTTATTTATTTATTTAAGTATACTGCAGACCTTCTCGGTCCAAGCAGGAGTGGTACATAGTATATACAAACAATGATGTCACGTACAGAAAGGCACCGACACAATCCAAGAAAAGGGAAAAAAATCTATTGAATTCCAAGTAGCCAAAACAACAGTGTCATAATGCAACGTTCAGAATCATGCTAAAAGGACCAACCAGTCAACGAAAAGAACTGCTCACAATAAATCCCTATTCGTACATTTGCGTCTATTGTTCAAAACTTATAGTTTTAGTGTTTTCAATAAAGGATTCTACGGTGTCACAGTTCACAGCTATTCATGGAAGTTGATTCCAATATGCAATTGATGACGGAAAAACAGAGTTTTTGTGAATGTTGTTGTGACTTGTGGGCAGTCGTATTGTTTTATTGTGGTTAGTTCTCGTGGAATGCCTGAAAGGTTCAAGAAGATAGTCTGATCTCGATATTGTATATTTCCCATGATAAAGAAGATACAGGAATTTAAGTATAGAATGTATTCTCAGTTCGGAAAGGCAATGAAGTTCGGCTCTTTTACGCAGATTAGTAACACTGGTATACCTGGAGTAATCGGAAAACACAAATCGAACTGCTAAGTTTTGCACTCGCTCAATTTTACTAATGAGAAATTTATGATGTGGACTCCAAATTATATCGGCGTATTCTAGTGCTGGTCTAATCAGGGTCTTATAGGCGGTTAGCTTACTGCAGGGGGAGTGTTACGGAGTTTTCTCTTTAGGAAGCCCAATTTACCTTGCGCTTTCGAACAAATAGCAGTTATATGTGGATCCCAATTAAGGTTGGATGTTAATGTAACTCCGAAATATTTAACTTGATCGCTTTTAGTAATTTCTAAATTGTCTATTGTATAAGCAAATTTGAGTGGTTTTTTTCTTATTCGTGAAAGTTATGGCTACGGTTTTCCGCGCGTTCAATGTCATGCCCCACTGGGAACACCAGGCTTGAATTTTTGTTAATGAGTGATTAAGGTTAATCTGGTCCTCAGTTCGATTTACCTTTGTGTACACAACGCAGTCATCTGCGAAAAGCCTTATTTGAACGGGTGAGTCAATGACCATAGGAATGGCGTTGATGTAGATAGAAACAAAATTGGTACTAAGACTGTTCCTTGTGGTACGCCCGAAAGGACGTTCAGGCTGTTTGACGTGTGGTTGTTCACAGCGACAAACTGCTTGCGGTTGTGTAGATATGATGTTATCCATGTAATAATATTATCTTCGATAACAATTGCATGCATTTTAGTTATTAGATCAGGGTGGCGAACGACGTCAAATGCTTTTGCAAAATCTAAAAAAACGGCATCTATTTGTCCTCTTTCATTCAGTGCATTCGCAATGTCGTTGGTAATCTCGGCTAGCTGCGTGACTGTCGATAAGCCAGATTGAAATCCATGTTGCCTATAGTAGAGTAGGTTGTTAGTTTCTAAATGTGTAAGAATGACTTTAAAAATTATATGCTCTAATATATTGCAACACGTGCTGGTTAATGAGACCGGGCGGTAGTTACTGGATTGCAGTTAGAACCGGATTTATGTATTGGAATAATCTTTGCCATGCGCCAGTCATTAGGGATTGTCTGCGTAGCAATTGAAGTGGTGTAGATTTTATGTAGATATCGGCTTATCCACTCAGCATATTTATTAAGAAAGGTGTTCGAAATATTGTCTGAGCCTGGAGACTTCTTAGTGTCAAGGTTGCGGAGTAGGCACTGAACACCTTCTTCATTAATCTGCAATTCTGGCATAGGGGTTAATTAAAGGATATGATGGTAAAGATGCTCCAGAGGACCCATGCGCGAAATCTGAGTGAAATAAGGCATTTAATTCATCGGCTATCTGGTCTGGTTGCGTGATAATTTTGTTGCACGATGTGAGCTGGGTAACATCAGAATGCTGCTTAGACAAGTAGCGCCAAAACTTTTTGGCTCAGACTGCATGAATGATGGAAGCGTGTCAGAATTGAATCGAGACTTAGCGCTGCGAATTTTGTTGTTCAGTGTAGCGATAAGGCCTTGTAGTTGATCAGATTTTCCAGCCTTGCGTCGCCTTTTAATCTTCCTTTTAAATGTATGATCTCCCGCGTCACCCACGGATAATCCCGGTCAACGCGTTTTCTTTTTAAAGGCACGTGACGAGCTTCACAATCGCCACGATATCTTTAAAGCATGTCCACAGTTCGTCCACGTTGTTACTTTTATCGAAAACAGGAAACGACGATTCTAAATGGGCGAAGATAGCAGCGTGATCTGCACGTGCATAGTCCCTGAAATAAGTAGCTCTGGATTCCTTTGTTTTTTGAACTAGTGTTAAAGGACACAAAAGAGAAACAATCTTGTGGTCAGAAATACATCTTCAACACTTATACACAGGTTTCAAGGGAATTACTTACAAACATGAGATCAAGCACAGATGAACAAGAACCTACCATACGCGTAGCACTAGCTACTAGTTGTGGACAATGAGAAACTAAACGCTGTTAGCAACAATGTCATGACCTAATTCAGCCAGTTAATTCTGGCAAATTAAAATCTCCGCATAAAATTATCTTCGAACGTGAATTTGTGTGTTGTGCAATACAGTCGTGCATATCTCTAAATATTCAGGGGGAGAGTTTGGTGGACGATATACTGCGCCCAAACATATGCTTTTTTTCCATAGAAATTGGTCCAGCACCACACACATTTCATGCTTGCATAATTCCTCTAAACGGGAAAACTTCACATTATTTTTTATAGCTATCGCTACTCCGCCGCCTGTGTTGTTCTGTCTTTGCGGATTAATTTTGCATGAGGAGGGGAACAACCTCAGAATCAAGCACGCCTTCGTGCACCAGCTTTCTGTAATAACTAAAATATGCGGATTGTGGTTTAGTACTAGGCTTTCCAAAAGAGTTTCTTTTAAAACGCTGCGTGCGTTAAGTGATACAATTCGAAGGGTTTTAGACGCTCCGTCATTTCTTCAGTTAAATTTCCGGCTGCCTTTGCGCAGGCGTAACTGATTTTGTCATTCTAAACCCTTCGATTGTGTTTGCGAATCCCAGACGAACAGTTTTCCGTCTACTTTAACTTGTCATAAATTAGCGACACTTTTAAGCAGTTCGGCCCGTTCCTGTGCGGCAGAATGCCAAAGTTTCTGTCGTGTATCACGCACTATTTTTGAAAAATCCTCCGAAATTGCTGTTTTCGTTCCTTTCAGTTGGCTGCAGCAGGACGAAATTCTGGTTTTTTCTGCAAAGTCATAAAGTACGAAGGATAATCGGACGGTGGCGTTCTTTGTGATATTTTCCCACTCTACGAATCCTTTCTAATGACTTTACTTCTATGCCTAATACTTTCTGGAATACTTCTTGCTTAACTATGGCCTCCAGTGACTTCCAATCTTCGTCTACTTCTTCATTAATACCGTATATTACGAGATTGTTGCGTCTGCTCCTATTTTCTAGGTCGTCTACTTTGGCCGATAGTTCAAGAAGTTGGACGTTTGAGCTGCTACAGGCTTCCTCACATACCGTCAACTTTTGTTCAAGCTTTTGCAGGCGACATATTTCCTTTTCAATAGACGTAACCCTTTCTTGAACGTTGGTCACCGCAGATTCGACTCTTTTTAGGTCGGAAGTCAATTCTTTCAAAGATTTGGTAGTTTCCCTTTGCTGTTTCAAATTTTTTTTCAATAGGTCGTTAGTCGAACTGGATTCAGAATCTGAGTCTGATGTTGGCCCCGGATTGGTTTCTATATCCCCAGCGGTTAGTAACAGCAACTTGATAACATCAGCACAATCTTTGAGTATCAAGAAGAAAATGTGGACTTGGCAGCACCATCAAGGCCAGGGAGTCATCTCGAATGGAAGAATTGTATTGCACACTAACCTGGATAACGAACAGTAGAGGGATTATCATCCTGTCCTTTCTGGTGCAACTAAGTCCACTGAATATCCGTCGTTGCGCCCGTATTTATACGTCGAGATCAGGGCCTTCTGTTGACGTCACTTGTCAGTCCGCCACTGTCTGCGCAGTATGCTTTCGTTGATGTCGGGTGGTAGCAGTTTCGTTGCGTCCATGGCAGCATTGGTCCGGCGCAGGTGCTGTGTTGACTTGCAAACTGGCTGGAGCTCACCGGCCACAGCGATATGCCCCGTAGAGCACAAGCGACCTGGATAACGACAGTAAGGGATAGCATCCTGTTCCGTTCTGGTGCACCAAGTCCACTGAAAGATCCGTCGTTGCGCCCGGTATTTATACGGTCGAGATGAGGGGCCTTCTGTTGACGCCACTGTGTCTGTCCGCCACTGTCTGCGCAGTATGCTTTCGTTGATGTCGGTGGTAGCAGTTTCGTTGCGTCCATGGCACATTGGTTCGGCGCAGGGTGTGTGTTGACTTGCAAACTGGCTGGATCACCGCCACAGCGATATGCCCCGTAGAGCACCAAGCGACCTGGATAACGACAGTAGAGGGATTAGCATCCTGTCCTTTCTGGTGCAACCAAGTCCACTGAAAGATCCGTCGTTGCGCCCGGTATTTATACGGTCGAGATGAGGGGCCTTCTGTTGACGTCACTGTGTCGTCCGCCACTGTCTCCGCATTATGCTTTCGTTGATGTCGGGTGTAGCAGTTCGTTGCGTCCATGGCCATTGGTCCGCGCAGGGGTTGTGTTGACTTGCAAACTGGCTGGATCCCGGCCCAGCGATATGCCCCGTAGAGCCAAGCGACCTGGATAACGAACAGTAGAGGGATTAGCATCCTGTCCTTTCTGGTGCAACCAAGTCCACTGAAAGATCCGTCGTTGCGCCCGGTATTATATACGGTCGAGATGAGGGCCTTCTGTTGACGTCACTGTGTCTGTCCGCCACTGTCTGCGCAGTATGCTTTCGTTGATGTCGGGTGGTAGCAGTTTCGTTGCGTCCATGGCACATTGGTCCGGCGCAGGTGCTGTGTTGACTTGCAAACTGGCTGGATCACCGGCCTACAGCGATATGCCCCGTAGAGCACAAAGCGACCTGGATAACGAACAGTAGAGGGATTAGCATCCTGTTCCTTTCTGGTGCAACCAAGTCCACTGAAAGATCCGTCGTTGCGCCCGGTATTTATACGGTCGAGATGAGGGCCTTCTGTTGACGTCACTGTGTCAGTCCGCCACTGTCTGCGCAGTATGCTTTCGTTGATGTCGGGTGGTAGCAGTTTCGTTGCGTCCATGGCACATTGGTCCGGCGCAGGTGCTTGTGTTGACTTGCAAACTGGCTGGATCACCGGCCACAGCGATATGCCCCGTAGAGCACAAAGCGACCTGGATAACGAACAGTAGAGGGATTAGCATCCTGTCCTTTCTGGTGCAACCAAGTCCACTGAAAGATCCGTCGTTGCGCCCGGTATTTATACGGTCGAGATGAGGGCCTTCTGTTGACGTCACTGTGTCAGTCCGCCACTGTCTGCGCAGTATGCTTTCGTTGATGTCGGGTGGTAGCAGTTTCGTTGCGTCCATGGCACATTGGTCCGGCGCAGGTGTTGTATTGACTTGCAAACTGGCTGGATCACCGGCCACAGCGATATGCCCCGTAGAGCACAAAGCGACCTGGATAACGAACAGTAGAGGATTAGCATCCTGTCCTTTCTGGTTGCAACCAAGTCCACTGAAAGATCCGTCGTTGCGCCCGGTATTTATACGATCGAGATGAGGGTCTTCGGTTGACGTCACTGTGTCTGTCCGCCACTGTCTGCGCAGTATGCTTTCGTTGATGTCGGGTGGTAGCAGTTTCGTTGCGTCCATGGCACTTGGTCCGGCGCAGGTGCTTGTGTTGACTTGCAAACTGGCTGGATCACCGGCCACAGCGATATGCCCCGTAGAGCACAAAGTGACCTGGATAGCGAACAGTAGAGGGATTAGCATCCTGTCCTTTCTGGTGCAACCAAGTCCACTGAAAGATCCGTCGTTGCGCCCGGTATTATACGGTCGAGATGAGGGCCTTCTGTTGACGTCACTGTGTCTGTCCGCCACTTTCTGCGCAGTATGCTTTCGTTGATGTCGGGTGGTAGCAGTTTCGTTGCGTCCATGGCACATTGGTCCGGCGCAGGTGTTGTGTTGACTTGCAAACTGGCTGGATCACCGGCCACAGCGATATGCCCCGTAGAGCACAAAGCGACCTGGATAACGAACAGTAGAGGGATTAGCATCCTGTCCTTTCTGGTGCAACCAAGTCCACTGAAAGATCCGTCGTTGCGCCCGGTATTTATACGGTCGAGATGAGGGCCTTCTGTTGACGCCACTGTGTCTGTCCGCCACTGTCTGCGCAGTATGCTTTCGTTGATGTCGGGTGGGTAGCAGTTTCGTTGCGTCCATGGCACATTGGTTCGGCGCAGGTGTTGTGTTGACTTGCAAACTGGCTGGATCACCGGCCACAGCGATATGCCCCGTAGAGCACAAAGCGACCTGGATAACGAACAGTAGAGGGATTAGCATCCTGTCCTTTTTGGTGCAACCAAGTCCACCAAGTCGTCGTCTATTCACATCTCGTGATACCGAATTTCGTATATGTGAAGCTAGCGAAACGGCTGCGAGCGCATCATGAGCGTTGCGTGTAGTCATGTTGTTACATCACACGCATCTCATGATTATCATGTTGGCACCAATCACTTAACTTGGTCATTCATTTATATCCCGTAATGCCAAATTTGGTATATGTGAAGCAAGCGAAAAGGCCGCAAACGTGCATGAGCGTGGCGTGTAGTCATGAGTCATGACTTACATGACATGCATGCCATAATTTTTATGTTAGGGTTTGTTACTTGTGGTCACCATGCAGTCGTGTCATGCCATACCAGTTTTGCAACATGTCATGAGACAAACCACCGGTAAGCGCAGCAAGACCATGAAAGTTAAATCTATAACACTTATGAATACATGTCATGATAGCCATGTTAGACTAGAGAGTTATGTTCGCAATACAGTCATGTTTTTCCATAAAATTTTGGTATCGATCCCATCATCGCGACGGCCAGGAGAGCGAAAAGTTCCTTACTTGGTGCATGCACTTACAAACTTGAAATAGAAGCCAGTTTTTTTTTTTTTTTTTGCTTGAATATTAGTAGCATTGCAGTGCGGAGGACATGCTTTTTTGAAATAAGTATACGTCCTATAGTCTTAGCACTATTTCTCTATTTCTTTAAATATCTCTTTGTAGAGTGCTGTCTTTCCCAGGAAGGTGCTGTCCAAAAAATGAAGCGTTCATGATAGAAAGATTGTATACAGGCCCATTTCCACAATTTATTTTATTACCCAGAGGGTTGGAGAGCCTTATATGTCTAAATCATTTCTATAAACAAAATTTTATCTCTATAACCCAGTCGAGCTAAGAAGTGCATTTAAACGTAATTAACCCTATCAAAAAACGAATTTATTTTATCACGTTTTGAAAAACACATATTCATTGGCCTTTGCATTGATTTTACTCTAAAGCACGCATCTGGCATCCCATATTACATAAAAAAGCTTAAAACTTGTGGTATTCTTGGGAACTGCCTAAGTCTCCTGTAATATTACCTAGACTAGATCATCGCTATCGGCACGGCGAAATTGAAAACTACTGGTCAATTAAAAAAAAGAACTGTCATAGAGGCGTGCGTATATCCAAGAGGTATTGTTGGTCCAGTTCTTTCAATGTGTATGATGACCTAAATGTTTCTAGATGCTCGAAATTACTTACGTGTGCTGACAATTCTAGTATACTTTATCGTCACCTGAACCCGGTCGCCTATTGTTATGGCCAATGTTGTTCGAAAAACTCTCCTATGTTAGTGCGCAGCAAACGTTCCACAAATTAACACAAACAATAAAGGCAACAATCCTGATCTTCCGAGCCTGAAGCGAATAAACTACTATGGTCGCAAGGCGTGGTGCTTGTGCCGAGTTACATTCAAGAACACTAGACGGCAGGAAAGCAACGCATCAGCAACGAAGCTTCATTGCACTTTGATTGCACATGTGAAGCAATGATGAACTGATAGTACAATCTGCCTCCGAACTAATCGTCCACACTATAGTTGCGGTTTTTAGGTGCGGAGTCCCTTAAGCCGGCACTTCGCCGTCGTCACCGCGTGATGCTACCAGCACCGGCTAAGCGCGCCGAGCAAAACAGCAGGTGAGCGCGGCCGGCGTGCGGCGCAGGCGCCACGTGCTGCGCCGCGCGCGTCACACACTGCTGTGCTCAGTCGATCCCACCTCTGAGCACAGCAGATGCTCTCCCCAACCTACCACCTTCATGAAAGCCAGCAGCCAGATCAGGTGCATGGTCATTTGCGTCCCATTTTAAAGTAGCTTCGTTCATCTGTTGTTTTCGTACACTGAACAGCTGCTTGTTTTGTCAGACATGCCTTCACCAGCACCACCAAAGTCGCGTTCACCGGGTTTCAGGTAAATAAGAGACCTGACTTTTACGTTATGCAAAATTTGTTATGTAAACATGATTAGTTGTGTAAACATAATAATATAACCTCCCCGCAAAAAGGAGCCTCCTGTGATTCGTATATCTGCCTAAAAAAGTTAAATATTGCATTTAACAAATTTTGAATATAAGGAGGTTGCAGATTTTATTGTTTCTGTGATATCAAGATTCCCCTATAGTAGTAGTAGTAGTAGTAGTAGTAGTAGAATAAGTGGCAAGTTATAATAGTATTAGTATTAGTTGTGCTAGTAGTAGTAATGACAGTAGTAGTACTAGTGGTAAGTGGTAGTAGCAGTAGTATTAGTTGTAGTAGTAGTAGTAGTATTAATAGTAGTAGTAGTATTTCTTGCTTGTAACGTTTACACTAAGGCATGATGAACATGCCAACTGCACAGCTGCTCTGTGTGTGCGTGCCCCTACTCACCCTGCAACGAATATTGTGGTCGCACAGTTGCTTACTTCCAAGGTCGTTAGTGGCCTGGTGTTCATATTCCTGGTAGTGAAAAAATGAAGAGTGGAAAAGAAAAAAAACGACACACCGGACGAAAAAATCAGAGCATATTCACGGAGTGAATTAGATTTAGTAGGGCGAAGCATGGATGCATGGATGGACGCATGAACAGACGCAGGGGTGGATGCATGGACGAACGCAGGGACGGACGCACTAACCGACGCATGCACCGACGGGCAGATTGACGCATAGACGGTCACACAGACGGACTCATCGACAGAAAAACGCCACGTGCGATGAACTACGCTATTGACTGCACGGGGTGAGAAAGAAAAAAAAACATTATTCTCTAACGTTGTGTTCTAACGTGCAACACGCCATTACGGACGCTACGCAATGCATTCGCATTTGTCATGATCGCCTTCGGGGAGATATGGGGGCATTTTTTTTTCTTTTTCTATCTTATTCGATCTAGCTAATTGTTTATTTGACATATATACGCTCTTAATTGCATGCCATACGAGCCAGTAGAGATGTAATAACTCACGTTTTCTTCTTGGTGAATGTTTCTCGAGTTTTGATTTCAGCCTACTCTGTATCGAGAAGATGCTGCAGATTGTCATGTCTTCGATACTGCATGGTAGAGAAAGTACATCTTAAGCGAAAGTGCCATATCAAAAATCTGCTCCTTCACTCCCCGCTTGACGATATGAACAAAGAAAAGGCAAACAAAGTGTCAGCTGCATTTGGTGCCCAGTGCCTTTATTCGCACTAGGTGTCGTTATCTGCAAAACAGCGCATTTGCACAAAATCGCACAAAGCTGAGTCTAACCAGATCTTCTGCGCACCTAGCTGGCTCTTAAGTTGGCACTTAGTAGACATTAATGCCTCAACTAATGCCTTAATGCCTTAAGTAGGCATTAACCCTCTCTCCTGTCTCCTTCCCACCATAGAGTTTCCTAAATATACACTAGAGGAAACTCTGGCACTACTTTCTATGGAGCTGCAACGCATGGCGCTCCAGCGAGCATGGGAATGATAGATAGTACATGGATTTGTCTAATCTTCGTACTTCTAGCTCTGTGTGTGTTCGTGTGGTTTGGAAATGCTCTGTCACGAAACAAAAATCAGTAAAAGTTAAGTGGTTGCGCTTCACCACCTTAATATTTATTCTTACCATTTCTAACCCGGTACCGAAATTCAAAAGGGTTCATTCTTTTTCTTCGAAACAAAACCGAAACACGGCCACAAAGGAAGCCACAAGTGTGATTCCCGCCCGCATGTACGAAGACTAGGCAAATCCATGTACTACCCATCATTGTCATGGTCGCTGAACGATCACAGTGCCTGAGTCTCCTCTAGCTAATTTTAGGAAACTCTGTGCTTCCTACACTCCGCCGTGGTGGTCTATTGGCTAGGATACTCGGCTGCTGACCCGCAGGTCGCGGGATGAAATCCCGGCTGCAGCCGCTGCCTTTCCGATGGAGGCGAAATGTTGTAGGCCCGTGTGCTCAGATTTGGGTGCACGTTAAAGAACCCCAGGTGGTCGACATTTCCGGAACCTCTTTCCGACATTTCCGGAACGGTGACTCTCATAACTGTACGGGGTTTTCGGGACGTTAAAACCCACATATGAATAAATATGTGCTTCCCACATCTAGCTATATCATACTGCATGGTATGGCCATGTTTGCTCTTTCTCACCTTTTTTTTTTTCTCAGAGCCTTTCAATTTCTTCCTCTCAATGTGTACTTGCTCTCTATCATTTTATGTTTTATTTTTCCTCTCCGTGTTCCCTTTATGGTGTCTTTTTTTCTCCGGCTCTCTCTAAGACCTTTTTTTTTTTCTCTTTCTTCTCTTGTACCTATTATCTCGCATTCTATCTTTTTCACGCCTTGATCATATCATGTCTCCTGCAAAGCTCCTACAGCAACCATGTGCCACAGAATTCTAAAGGCTCGCAACAATAGTCCTTTAAAAATATTGGCAAGAAACGCGTGGACGACGAACACCAATTAGGGCCGCTCGTTACCGCTTCTCTGTACTTGACGCTTCGGCGCTAACTGAATGCGTGTTGGTTCATCACACTGATAATTTTTCATCTGCGACACATGGCCAGCCTTGAGCTTAGCAGCTCTGCTGTAATAATTGGCCGTGTATCTGCGTGTTTCTCTGCAAAAATATATCGAAAAACGGTAGTCTTCTGCCGGCGGTCTTTCGTGCACAACGTCCATTTTCAACGCAGCCTAAGAAACGCTAGAGTCTTTAGAATTACGTATATTGGTATATTCTAGTAAAAGAACAGACCACCTAATACTGACGTATTTGTCGCATCTCAGATAGGAGTAATATTTGGCTATTTATCGACAGTATTCAAAGTTAGAACGCAGCCACCAGTTCAATATGGCTGGGCATTCACCAAGTGCTGAAACTTTGACCGGGTGGCTGATTCGTGTGAAAGACAGACCAAAGTTTTTGCGTTCAATTATCTCAGTTGTCACACCATTCCGTTGACTTGCCACGGGACGGCTTATCCCTCCCATAGTAGAGTACTTAGTTCTCTGAGTCTTTACCCACTTTTCTAAACACACCAGTTTTCTTGGTAGTGATTTTAACAGCACATTGGGGTTACTGATACAACCAAAGTTTCTGATTTCAAGTAGTTTACTAATACATATGAGTCTGTTGACCGAAAAATATGTTTCAGATTTATCCGGGAATCGAAGAACTCGAGAAGTGGCTGCGTAAGTAGTGGCGCCCAGCGTCAACAAACGGTGCATTGTTCCACTGAAAAAGCCCACACACGTCACGAAACACCATGAGTCAGCGTCAGTGAAGCACGTGTCACTCACCGAACAGTTCTTTCTTCTAGTCTCAACTATCTCAGCCATCCGTCGAGTCACCATGAGGTGGTTCTCTGCTAGCAGTGAAATCCAAGTCAGAGGCTTCATCAAGCGCCGAGGAATCTGGTGCTCTCTGCACATACAAGGTAAAAAAGTCGATTGATTCATTGATTGATTGATTTCTTGATATGCGAAGTTTAACGTCCCAAAACCACCATGTGTTTATGGAGACGCCTGAGTGGAGGGCTTGGGAAATTTCGACCACCTGGGGTTTAGTAACGTCCACCCGAATGTCAGCACACGAGCCTACAGCATTTTCGCTTCCATCGAAAAACGCAGCCGCCACAGCCGTACGACAAAATCGGATATCGCTGATAACAGATGTTTTTGTCATGGCCTTAGTGGTATATAAATATAGAGCAAGAGAAAGTCTCGCCATCAGTCCTCCGTAGCCAGACACGATAGGTTTCTTGGGAGGATATACTTCTGAAATAACGTAAGTTCGTGCTTGCTGGTATTTCATTTGAGCACCTAACAGAAAAGACAAAGACCGGGTGAAAACTGACAAAAACAAGCGACAGTTTCACCACTTCATTCACCTGTGTTGTGCGTTAGATGCTCGCTGGATTCCGTGCAGACCGGTTGTGCGCCCGCGCGCTCCGCGCGCTCGCGACCTTCGGCGTCACCGTAGCTCTGGCCGACTGGGCTCGCCCTACGTCATCTCCTGCCGCCGACGACCTTCGACGACAGTGAAGATCTGACTTACTGGACCTGCTCTACGCCATCTACAGACGCCGACAACATCTCTCGCAAGTGTACCCCGTCCTCGGACTCCAGTGACCGTGCTTCCATCTTTCCTGTCTCTCCTATCCCCCAGTTTTTTGTTGCTTCTTCTTCCTCTTTTCTATACCTTTACTCCTAACTTTTATATCCCTCCTCACCCCATCCCTTGTGAGCCCTGTGGCGGTGTCGCTCACTGAAGCAGACAATAACGGGGCTCACTTTCTCTTCCTTCTCTTTCTCAAGAACCACTACGCTTAAGCGGAACACACGTGGTGAAAGTCTTCAGCCTCTGCTCACGTGATTGGCTATGCATGCTGCGGATGCTGTGGCGGCTGTAGTCCCCCACCTGATAATTCAATAAAGTCTTTTCTCTCAATCTTTCTCGCACCTCTGGACAGTGGGAGAAAGAAGGAGTATTTGACAAGGCACGGGAGAAAATATCCGTGTCAAGCTATCAGTTCTAATCACACCCCACGGCTTCTTGTCCAGGCCCACGTTAGGGAGTGCATTGACATTGTTATAGCGCCGATGAACTGTCCCCGAGCAGAATGCATACAGTAAAATAACATTCGTCCATCTACCACAACACCGCATTGCACTCATAACCCCTCATAACCGCGAGCATTTTTTTCGAAGATATAGACCTATTCTATGTTAATAAACGATTATAGGCGCCGTCGACGTACTCAGACGCCTGCAGCGACTTTGTGGAGTGTTGGCTCTGCCCAGCTCAAAGCTCACCACGGTCATTTTACGATCGCGTGACAATTGACACAGCAGCTGTGTCAGTTGCCACTTTATCGTAAAAGGCAGCGTTGAGCTTTAGGCTTGGCGGAGCCAACGTGCCTCGAATTCGCTACACGTGCCTCACCGATAGTGCCTGTCATAATATGTGCTGCGCGGGCGCGAAACAGAACTAAAAAAAACGACAATAGTGTGCCGTGCGGTGGCGTGGGTCCTCTTTTGCGACTCCAGGTCAGCTTTACAGTCCTACGGTTTGTTATGCAGAACGGGTTACATGAACAATCAGTATATCAGATAAGGCACGACTACCACGAAGCGCTCGCGGAAGGTCATGATATTGTATTTCAGTGGTTGCCGAGTCATTGCGGAATCATCGGCAATGACCGCGCGGATGAAGCTGCTCGATCGGCTCATGACCAAGACCAGCGCACGCCCATACCACACTTGAGAACGGACGCTGCAAGGCTACTACAATCACTTGCTCGCCGTATATCTCTGCTACAATGGAATACGCAGGGTTTCTCCAACACGCACCTGTATTTGATCGACCAAACTTGCAACTTCGTTTGCCATCCGGGCTCCAACGATGCGCTGAAACTTTACTGTGTCGCATGAGGTTGGGCGTGGCATTTACGAATTCGTACTCTCGTCTCCTTCGAATGGCGAGCACTTCGGCATGCAACACCTGCGCCTGCGAGGAAACGCTTGAGCACATTCTATGTCATTGCCCAGCATACCAGACCGAACTACGTATTATGGAAGCCAAGCTCTGTCAGCTGGATTCACAGCCGATTACAAAAGAGAAGATCCTGGGACCTTGGCCGACGGCTTCCCATACGCGCAAAGCCACAAAAGCCCTCTTGTACTTTTTAAGGACCACCAAACTTCACGACCGCTTGTGAAAGAACTGTGCGAGGCCGTGCTGTGTAGTCTCGAGCTGACTATTTATGCTTATCTTTCTCACTCCTCTTCTTTTCTGTCTCTTTCTGTTCTATTATTCTCTTTTTCCCCCACCCCAAGTGTAGGGTAGCCAACCGAGCCAAGCTTGGCTAACCTCCCTGCCTTTCCTCTCTATTTATCTCTCTCTATCTCAAGTTGTTTGTGTTGTTTGAGAGAACTGCATGCGAGGCCACTTCTGGCCGATTATTAGTGACGAGCTTTGCCTGTAAGATATTTTAAT